CCCCAAAACCCCAAAACCCCAAAACCCCATTTTATAGTGCTAAAATAGAAATTTGGAATAATATTATTACTAAAGTTTAGATACTGCAAATGGAGTTGATCCCAGGGTTTAGGAATATTCAAGAGTCCAGACAACAGGAGGAACGACTGGTCTTAAAAGAGGAAGAACTTTTAGAACAGATCATTGGTGATATAAGGAGGGAAAAAGTTGGCAACAAAGTTAGATTTGCCTATGCAACTATTTCAAAGATAACTTTGAGGGAGGTAAGAAATTGAAAGATTAAAGAATTTGAGCTTATTTTAGCTTTGCCAGTTTTAAATTCAGTCTTGAATACTCCAAGGTTGGGTTGATGATTTTATAGTTCGCAGAAAATTACAGAATTAAAGACTTGGCAAAGATTCCTTTTCCTCATAGTTCTGAAATCAAAGCTTTTATTAAAGCCAATGGGAGTCAGAGCAAGAGCCAAATTCAAATAATGAAAAACATTTCCAGGACTCACAAACAGAATATAATACTCTCTTGAAATAAAGAATATGGGAGCAATATCAACTATAAAGTAATCAGGTCAGCCTTCCAGGTTTTCCCAGCTGAAAATATTAAATTTATTGTTGGATGTAAGGACCCGGCTAAATTACAATTTATTATAGCAATCCATATTACTGAAAGAATTTTCTTAAAAATAATTCTCAAAAGTTGAAGATCAGCATCACTCTGTTTCAATAGATGTGTTATTGATAAAATTGATGCGCACTTAAATCTTGGAACTAAAGCTAGGTTACAAATCTTGACTTTTGTTGGTTGCAAAGATTCCAAAAATATGAATATCGACCAAAGCCCCATTTTCGAAAGCATCTTAAAATTCATTTCAAATACCTCTCTTCACAACCATCTATCCGAAATCCATCTCTCAACTGTCACAAACGAAGCAGCAATAAAAACCCTCAAGGCCAAACACACCTTAGACCACATAAAATTCACAAAACCCTCAAATGACATATTCATCTGCACCACTTTCGCCTAAAATCCTATTTCAACACACCTCCCACCCTTCGGGGTTTTGGGGTTTTGGGGTTTTGGGGTTTTGGGG